ATATATATATATATATATGATTAGAGAGGAAAGGTTGAAATATGGACAGACTTTGATTCTGGCTTCCAGCTCCCCGTCATCCTCTGTGAGACGAGCTGTCAGCATAGATCATTGCGTTTTGGATCTGATCCAATAGATCTATGATCAAGTTTCATATGAAGGGACATGAAGTAATGCTGCTATCTGGGTTCAGGTCCCCTCAGTCACCATCTGGGTCACCAGAACCTCCTGACCCGTACTGGTGGCTCAGGGTGGGCCTGAGGAACCAATAGGAAATTTGTTTTTAATCAATTCCAGCCTTTGCTAAAGGCTGATCAGGCCCGGTCCAAACATGTTCTGAATATTTTAGAGAACCCCTTGGAACTGGGAACTTTCTGCTTCTATGGTTCTAATTAACAACTGGATAAGAGTGGAACTGAACCGGACCAGAACCGGAGACATGATGGCGAGGACTGAATAAACCAGCAGATGAAACCAAACGGTTCAGAACTGAACTGGCTGACACTGACCAAAGGAAGCTGAGTGTGAGTGGGCTGCCGTCCATCTACAGGACGTCTTTGTGGGCAACTTTTGGTTCAAGTTCTTCATTGCTTCATCCTCTCCTCCATCCATGATGCTGGATGGTTCCCTTTGGGTTCATGTCTCCAATTACAGATTCTAGTTTTATGAGCGGCATAATAGAAACTGCCCTGAACATCAGCCGGCTCCCCTGACTGCTGGGACCCAGTTCCTGGTCCTGTAGCTCCAATAGGAACCTGCTGGTGCTTCAGGCTGAGGAACCGTGGCTTTAAGCCAGGGAGGGTGCTGTTGGTTCTGCTCATACCAATGAACTCCTGTCTCAGCCGGTGTCTCTTGCGCAGGTCCTCATGTCCCAGTAGGAGAACGTTGATGGTTCCCATAAGCGTCACCATGTATGGGACGTTGTCGGTGGCCTGCAGCTCGTTCATGATGACGCTGAAGCGGTACTGCTGCTTCTTCAGGGTCTGGACATGGAGAGAGCACAGATCAGGTTCTGGCTGGAAGCCCAGAGGATCGGATTTATTTTTCAACTTCAGACTTTCCTAAATAAAAGCCTAGAAGCTTTTATCCAGATCTGCTATCAGGATCAGGCTGCTTCTGCCGGGGAATCAGGGCGGCTCAGAACACGCCTCATTTACAGAAATGCTCTGATTTCACATTCTTGCAGTCAGAAGGACTGATTAGAAGCTGATAAGGAGCAGCTATGGCTTCCCTCCCTCATCCTGCATCCCTCGGAGCCAAAACAACCTTTCAGGGAATTTTAAAGACATTTTCTGAGGCAGAAAAAGAGAATTAGAAAGCAACTGAAAAACCACATTATGCCCTCATCAGGCTCACTGCTCTAATTCATTATCATCATGGACCAAACTCTCCACCCTGACAGAAAATGTCTTCATAGATCCATCAGATCTCTGCATCTGAGGTAGTCATGGAATCTGAACCGGGTTTAGACTGCTTTGATCCAGTTGAACTTTCAGAGTTAGCAAAATTATTGTCTTCATCTAAGCCTTCAACTTGTATGTTAGATCCAGTTCCAACCAGGTTATTTAAGGAGGTATTCCCTTTGATCTCCTCCTCCATTTTAGATGTGATTAATCTATCTCTGTTACAGGGATATGTACCTAAGGCTTTTCAGGTTGCTGTAATTAAACCTGCTTAAGAAACCGTCTTTTGACCCAGATGACTTGGTTAATTATAGACCTATATCCAATCTTCCTTTCTTATCTA